CGAATTTAGCCGCATTATGGAATATGATACTCCAATATCCCAGTCTAATCCCAGTGACTGACCGTCCCTTTTCAAACAAACTTGTGAGCCTCTTCTCATTGCAGGTATCCTGTAGCGGGGCTACACACAAGTGGCTACATGTAGCGACTTGGTCACGAAGAAGGTTTTCCACGTTGGTGTTAGAAACACCCATGATTACAATTGGCAGACTATTGGTCTGCATGCATTTAAGACATTCACTGGCTGAAAATCAATATCTGCGACTAATTAGAATAGTAGGATTCTGTCAACCATTGGTTGAATTTTTTTTCATTTAGAATATTAGATTAGGTGGAAAAGCCAAACAAAACAGATAAACAGTTCTCAATTTTACCTTTCTTTTCTATATAAGTAAACTTATACTATCGGACGAAAGTACAGCTAATCTAAGTGAAGCGCATCTTACGCTTTGTCATACACGTGCGCTAACGTGTAAGCGAAGTAGTGGGCACAGAGTAGGTCCACTACAATGGAGCCCTATGAATGGCATGGTTAGCTGCGCGCTCGGCATTTGCGCTTCATGCGCTGCGGCGGCGCTGGGGTCTCATCTTCCGTGCCTTCTGTATAGCCGAAGCTTCAGGCGTTTGGTCGCTGTTTGGAATAGCGTCTACCCATGGGTAACCAAACCATAGCTACCTTGATAACTGCGGATGGCTACGTGAGCGCGATGACTTGCTGACCCGAACGCCACACATCGTCCTAACTCGTGCAATTACGTCTTCAGACCTAATAGATGCATTTTTTTGAAATGGGTCTTCAGCCAAAGCTGTCACCAAGAAGCCTTTCGTAGTTGCCACACATCGAGCCACACATAAAAGCCCGACCGAATCGATGCGCACGTTGACGAAAAACGGTTACCCTTGACTGTTGCAGCCGGCCTTCACGCGTATCTCGTTGTTATGGAGAGCAACTTAGCACCGCATTTTCCACGACTACTAGCTCGAACTCCTGCTTGCTTACGATAGTATCGCTTCCGTTCAGTTTTGTTGGATGATGATGTGTGTGGCTGTGGGTGGTGGTGATGGTAGGGGGGGGGGTTGTGAAGTGCTGGATAAAAGGGACTAGCGCCCAGGAGCCACCCATCAAGAAACGTATGGCGCAAAAGTACGCAGAAAAGACGACATTATCGGCTGCCTGGCAGCTATATCTACCATATCAACTAGTTATTACTCGCTATCGACACTGTACATCGCTGTTACAGTATGCGAGGCTGTTTAGCATCAAGCTACTAAGCCCCATGTGTATGCAGCACACAGCGTTTGTAACGGGCTAGAGACAACCCGTTACTAAGCTCAAACTGTAGTGGAAGGAAGCAGGTAAATTAAACTCTGATTGATGGGCGTAACGGCATCAAGGCCGTCACAGCCATTAACGATAGTCTTGGGATCGAATTGGCCACCGTGCACTCACGATGGCAACATGTGACAGAGCCCTGTCACACCACCCCCTACTAAAATTCGAAGATACGCACGTGGCCGCTACGGTTGCGGTCACTCAACAAGTTGAGCTGGAGGACAACAGGGCTGGATCACTGGATCAATGGCAGACGCTGGTGGAGAAGCGGACGCGTGGAACAGACCTGTGCCAACAGCAGGGGACTTCGACACGAACGCGGAGGAGTTAGGAAGGTCGGACTTGTACGATTACAGCGGCTTGCGCGAGCCGCTGAGTGACGACGAAATGCGGAGTTTGTTCCACCGACACCGACGGACGCGTAGCAAGCCAGTCGCGGTGACACGGACCGTGACACTGAATTCGCTGGACAGCGCGTGGACGGCTTTCGTGAACCGCTGGAGCACAGAAGGCGCCGCCAGATTCACCCCCTCCCTCGAAAGACGCGAAGCGGATCATGAAGAGCGCTTGGTGAGCGCGCTGAAGCCAAACAAAACAGATAAACAGTTCTCGATTTTACCTTGCTTTTTTTATAAGTAAACTTATACTATCGGACGAAAGTACAGCTAATCTAAGTGAAGCGCATCTTACGCTTTGTCATACACGTGCGCTAACGTGTAAGCGAAGTAGTGGGCACAGAGTAGGTCCACTACAATGGAGCCCTATGAATGGCATGGTTAGCTGCGCGCTCGGCATTTGCGCTTCATGCGCTGCGGCGGCGCTGGGGTCTCATCTTCCGTGCCTTCTGTATAGCCGAAGCTTCAGGCGTTTGGTCGCTGTTTGGAATAGCGTCTACCCATGGGTAACCAAACCATAGCTACCTTGATAACTGCGGATGGCTACGTGAGCGCGATGACTTGCTGACCCGAACGCCACACATCGTCCTAACTCGTGCAATTACGTCTTCAGACCTAATAGATGCATTTTTTTGAAATGGGTCTTCAGCCAAAGCTGTCACCAAGAAGCCTTTCGTAGTTGCCACACATCGAGCCACACATAAAGCCCGACCGAATCGATGCGCACGTTGACGAAAAACGGTTACCCTTGACTGTTGCAGTCGGCCTTCACGCGTATCTCGTTGTTATGGAGAGCAACTTAGCACCGCATTTTTTACGACTACTAGCTCGAACTTCTGCTTGCTTACGATAGTATCGCTTCCGTTCAGTTTTGTTGGATGATGATGTGTGTGGCTGTGGGTGGTGGTGATGGTAGGAGGGGGATTGTGAAGTGCTGGATAAAAGGGACTAGCGCCTAGGAGCCACCCAACGGAGGCCTTACCACTTGGCTATACTTCAAAATAAAATATATGCTTAGAAAGACTCGAACTTTCATTTTATAGATCCGCAATCTAACGCTTTATCCAATTAAGCTATAAGCATAACTTTAATTTTTTTTTATAATTTTAATATTGATTAATGCATTTTTTGATAAAAATTGCGTAATTAAACTCAAAAAATTTA